ATGATACACATAGCAGTCTAGGTCATGGACTGTATTTATCAATGTCAGCAGATAAAAAATCATTAGAAAAAGTAAGGGAGATGAAGGTAATATGGTGAAGACAATCCACGCTACTTTGCAAATTTTGCTTTTACATTTCTAATGGGGTATACTGTCACAAGGATTGTTTTCATCTGAGTTGCTAATTGAACATAACTGAAACAGCTCACCATTATACTTTGCTACGGTGTATCAAAACACTCTGTGATCTAAATATAAAGGTCTGGCCCAGATGAAGTCTTTCAAATAAGTGTAGAGAATGAGTGTAACAAAGTTTTTGATGGAGTAGGGTTAGATTGTAGATGCAGAGATAAGCTCTGCTTTAGTACTGGAGGCTGCTCTGACAGATCATAGAGAAAGTGGAAGAGTCATGAAGGTAAAGAAAATCAAATTTTCATTAAAATGTTCCTTAGAAATTACATCAGCCCCAAGCAATATACATGTCTATTAAACAGTATATCATTCTTTATTATACTCTTTTCCACTTTTAACTGACTTTATTCATTGGGTCCATTACAAGTCCATGCTCTGTCACTCAGAATCTCACTATGATTCTAAGTTTGTTTTTAGTCTATTAAGCTGACTCAATTAAAATCTCCAAAACTCTCCCTGTCTTGAGCTATCCTTCTATTTGCACCTCTTTCTTTCTCAGGATTCATCTAGTACCTGCTTAACGCAGGAAACTGAATGACACAGTGCAAGTGATACCAAGTTTCCCTTTAACCTGCAAGCTAACACCTTCACCCTTTCTCTTTTCTTTCTTTCCTGTCTTTAAGAAAAACTTACCTACCCACTCTGCTGAGAGTTTATACCTCTTCCTAGGCTCTTACTCCTACTCCTTTCTATGTCTGTCTCTCAAAGTTTCCTCCGTTAATATCCCAGGCAAAAAAAAAAAAAAAGAAAAAAAGAAAAAAAAAAGATATTGTCCCTTTTCTTACTAAAATAAATGAAAACTGTTTCTGGATTATCCGAGTTGGGGGATGGGCAGCAGATACGTTAGAATTGCCATCCTCAAGTAGAAAAGCTTCCATAATAATGTTTTTGCACATTTAGCATATTTGAGTTCTAGTGCTTTAAAAATATTTGAAAATGACAAGTTTAATGAAATTACAGAGAGGTTAAGTGACTTGTCCAAGAGTAGTGGCAGACTGAGAGTTATTTTTTTAGGTCTTCTGAATCCCTATTTGGCATTTTTTTTTCTATTATTTGGCCATTAATTTGGTGGAGGTGGAGGTGCTATTTTTAGGTAAGAAGTAAATTCATCATTAAATGCTCATACAGGCATTTCTTCCATGCAAGTATAATATTAAATTTAGGAGTAGGTTCTGCCCTAAATAGTTTGTTTCTCTTCATCCAGAAAGATGTATGGACCATGGTCATTGGAGTCCTTCTTCATTCAAGCCAGACTCCTGTGTATGATGTGAGGCCACTTAATTCTACACTGACATAGATGATGATTTTCATTACTGTGGTAGTGTTGTAACTAAAACAGTGTTAGGTAACCTCAGAAAGTTTCAGACTAAATCAGAAGAGATATTTGATTTGGAGAAATTCACTGAGATGCCATCAGTCCTACTCTGAGGAAAAAACATCTCTTCACTCCTAACTATAAATTTTAAAGGTAGAAGGAAGAGGGTTTTCCGGAATTAATCTGTGCACATATTTCAGATAATTTTTCCTATTCATAAATATGAGATCACGCTCAAAAGAACATGATTTAGGCCAGGCGCAGTGGCTCACACCTGTAATCCCAGCACTTTGGGAGGCCGAGGTGGGCAGATCACTTGAGATCAGGAGTTCAAGACCATCATGGCCAACATGGTGAAAGCCTATCTCTACTAAAAATATAAAAATTAGCTAGGTGTGGTCCATGCGCCAGTAATCCCAGCTACTCAGGAGGCTGAGGCAGGATAATTGCTTGAACCCAGGAGGCAGAGGATGCAGTGAGCCAAGATGGCACTGCTGCATTACAGCCTGGGCAATAGAGCAAGACTCCGTCTCAAAACAAAAACAAAACCAAAAACAAAACAAAACAAAAAACCATGATTCTTTCACTAGCTTCATTATTATGGCCCATTTCCTTTTGTACTCTGAACCACTTGGCTCAATTAAAAGGGAGTCCATAATTGTTCCTACAGTGCTTTAAATTTTGAAACATTCTGGCAATACCTTTTTTACAAAAAGCAAAAGATGCAGGGATTAAAGGATATGGCCACACTTTTTAGGTCATTTCTTTTCTTATTTAACTAGTGCTTATTTTTTGTGGTCTATCAAACAATCAAGTGCTTTCGTTCATGAAAATAATTTTGGGTCAATTAATACACTATGATTGAATACTTTGTACTTCATTTGGACATGGTTGAACAGCAAAAATGACCTGAAATGTTTCATGATAAATTATATTTAAGGTTATACTTAACATGGAGTGCTGATGCAAAAAACAAGTTTAATGTGCTTTTATGTGTGACAACACATAAATTTGAATGATTTTAAACTGCGATTAAATTACAATTTAGTTGATAATACAGAGGGATTTTAAGTGTGGTTTTGGAGGTAAAAAAATCCATTTTGATATTTTTGTAACCTCTCAATAGTCTAAGGGTACAGTTGCTTTTTCTCTAATCAACTTTGTTTTGTAACTAGTGCTTAACAAGTAAGCATCCTTGATTTGCTGAGTGTTCAGAGTTATCTTGCAGTTTGCTTACTCACTTTGCAGTCACAAAATGAGAAATGTAGACACCATATATAAACAAGAAGTCCGTGCAAAGTCAAGCTCTCAAAACCACATGCAAGACTCAGTGGCACATGGTTTAGAGCTCACACACTCCAGGATGATGTAATACAGGCATGCAGATGAGAGGAAAGGAAAGCACCTACATCATGAAAATAGAAGATAATGAAAGAGAATGACATTTTATTTATGACAATTATCTAATGCAAACCGTATACCCATAGCCTTTACCAGAGTCGGGACTGGGGCAGAGAAGTGAATTTTTATGGGGACTGGGAAGCTGTATATAAATATTGTTAGAGGTCAAGTTGTTGTTAAAGTTAAGGATTTCTATTCTGCACTTGGCCTCTTCCAGGTTGTCTTCCCCAGTTTCTTGCTTTGTATTTCCTCAGCTACGTCATGCAAAAAAGATCAGAACTAACATTGGAAATCATTTAACAAGCTCTAAACCTGACAGATAACAAGGGTGTTCTCCACAATTTACACGAGAATTAAATTGGATATAAATACCTCCTGTTCTTACCGGTGGGTGTTGTGATTCCATTTATTAAGGTGTGAAGCAGACAGGAAAGAGATAAATCTTTCATAAGTACATTGTAAATAGGCAAGTGGTATATAAACCATATTCATAGGTAATAGAGTCAAACAATGAAAGGTAAATAGTTGTCACAAAATAGACTTTATCACAAAAAAATGGTCACAAAACTAGAGTTACATGGGGGGAGTAAAATAGTTGTTTTGCTACTGTTTTTGAAATAATCTGGCAGTATGAAACAACAAAAAATGCGTGATATGTTTTGATTAAAAAATTTTGACACTGCTTCAGTCAACCCAGCAGTAGACAGTCCCCAGTAGATTTTGAATGCTGATACCTTTGTTAAACAATAACAATGATGGAAATATAGAAAACTGATCAATATGTAGGTGTTCTTTCTTGTGAGATTAAAGTGTTCCTTTGCGAGATCAATTAATCAGATGAATTTTTCACAAGGAACTTTGGGATGATTAGAAATGACTCATGGAATTTTGTGTGAAAAGTTCTAATCTGATTAGCTCTTCAAATTAACATTTTTGTCATGGCGTGTCCTTCTCAATCAAATAAATCACACACAGCTATGATAAACTTATCCATAGATAAATATTACTTTTAAATTGGGCAATATTTGCAATGCTTCCTGCACCATTGCTGCTAATTTTGAACCCTTGCTTCTTCAATTAGAATATTACTGGTCAAACAGAAAGTACCAATTTAAACTGTACAGGCTCACTTACACAAAAATTGTTTCATGCAATTGACATAATTAAATATGAAAGCTTTTATTTTCTGAGGAATTCTTAGAAACAGGGTCCTTGCCCAGTGGAAGAGTAGCCATATGGGAAGGTACCCTATTTTTATTATTTTTTTTCTGGTGCTCTGTGACATGTCATAGAATTTGGATTTGTTGTATGATTTATTTAGCAATCAGCCTTTATAGCCAAATTGCCAGGTAAAAGAATGTTGGCAATTCTCCTAATAATAAAAAGAAGTTTTTGGACATTAGTATTATTAATTGTGTTGATTTTTGAGCAGTGATACAGGAAGGGAAGTTATGACAGGTGATTGTTGATGTTGAAAAATATGAAGGCATCTGTATTTTTCCCTTGAAAGGAAACATGCATTAAACCAGGTAGAGTAAGAGGGCACAGCGTAGATTGTTTAAAATATAGAAAAAAAATTCTTAAAATAAGTGTGAAACTTCCTATCATAAAATGCTTACATATAGTTAAGATCCCTGACCTCTCCTACAAGTTTTCAATTTCCTGTATTTTAAAGTGTGTTAACCTGGGATCCCTGTTTGGGGGCATCATAATTATTACTGTTTACTTGCCAAATCTTATTGCAACTGGATCCAACTATTTTCTGGGGGTGTTGGCAATGAGGCTTTGTAGTGAAAGTCCAAGTCCCAGCTAAAGCAATGCTCTCTCTCACCAGAAGTGGGAACTCTACTACACACAGTTATATCAGTTTGCATCATGTTATAATGCCTTTGCCACACAGTATAACTAGATATAGCACCATGCAATGCCATGAATTGAGAATGAGAGACTATCTCCAGGGGAGAAAATACACATCTGAGAGAAGAAAACAAAAGCAAGGGTTTTAAAGCTGGTGATACCAAATTTTTTTTTTCATTTTGGCTATCACTATAATGCCTGCGGCACTTTCATTTTGGAAAACAGAAATACATACCATGTTCATGTCAATGCCATTGGTGTAAGTCCATGCATGCTGGAAATATTCTTCAAGACGTTGCCTCAGAGGGTTGGGGATTTGGTGAAAGCGAATGAACTCTTTTACTCGCAGCATCTGCATGTGGTACCTGGCAGTTCCCGAGTATAGTCTTTGGATAATTGCAGATACATTCCCAAAAATGCTTGCATACATTAGTGCTGGATTGGATAAAAAACAAAGTTATTGGGGGAACTGCACATAGGCATGTTATATGTTGTTACAGTATCAAGCATGTGGATTTTGATTATCTCAGTCTAGTGAGGATTTACCAGTGGATTACTGGGAAAAAAGAAGTTAAACTAAAACTGCTTTACATTTTTAATTTTAGTGATAAAGCTGGAGAGGGAAAGTATCCAAATTCATCATGGATTCTAAATGAACGTGAAAACTCAGATTGTTTATAATATCAGTGTGTGGCCGGGAGCATTCACCAGAAAGAAAATGCATTTGAAATAAACCCTTTCATTTGAAAAAGAAGGCATGTCATGGCTCACCATAAATACATTTTCTTTAAAAAAATATGAAGCAAAAGCATGTTTTAGGGATTTTAAAACCCTTTCTGAATTGGAGTTAACATATTAGTTTTAAGTTGTAACTTACTTCTGCCTCTTAGCCTCAAATCTAAACTTGTAGAAGAAAAATCTATTATTAAATTTGAGATTATTTTGAACACATTGGGTTTGTTAAGGGATACCAAATTCTTTTAAGAAACCCAGTTTCCTTAGAGTGTTAATTTGTATACAGTTTTTAATCTATTTCAATTCATTTTCATAGTATTTTTGCATAAGAAACATATCTCTGGCTTAGAAAATTCACATAGCTTTATTTTTGTAGGGAAAAAATAGAATATACTTTTGTTCTTTCGTCTATAGGGAGAAACCGCTAAGAGATCCCTTGTTATATAATCAGCATTTAGGTAGAATATCTGCATTGGTGCTTCTTCCACTAAATCTTCATGATTTAAAATAAGCTCTTTAAGTACTTTCTCTATTCATTTTTGTATTTGTATTCTTTTGTAATAATTCTAAAAAGAGATGCTATTCTCTACACAGTCAGTCACATCAGGATACACAGTCTGAATGATGATCTTTGGGCATCTATCAGAAACTGAGAGTTATGATAATAACCTATGTTTAAGTCACTGGAATAGCTATATACCAGGGCGGGGAAAGCAGCAACAACAAAACAGTGTGAAGTGTTTAATTAAACTAAATTCAAACCACATATTTTTTTCCTCAAATAAATTTTACAAACAATTGCTTCTATAAACCACTTAATCATTTTCCAAGTAGGCTTTGGCCAGATTCCTGCTATGTTTTAAACTAGTATGTTTTTCTGGGCACTTGCTTGCTTTTCCATCTTACCTTGTTTGCTTATCTTGTCATGCTTGGTTATCAAGATCCTTGTTTACCATAGATATCCTAAGTAAGAGAATGTCCCCGGGAAAGCAGTGACCCCTTGTTTTTTACCTATTTAAGCGATGAAAGTTAGGGAGATATGGGGGTTAATTGTATATCAACTTGACTGGGCCATAGTGTGCCTGGATATTTGGTTACACAAATGTTCTGGGTGTGTCCGTGAGGGGTTTGCAGAGGAGATTAGCATTTGGGTCAGTAAACAAGCAAAACAGATTGTCCATCCCACTCTGGGTGGGCTGCATCCAACTCACTGAAGTCCTGAATAGAAGAAAAAGGGGAAGTAAAGGAGAATATACTCTCTGCTTGAATGTCTGAGCTGGAATATCAGTCTTCTCTGACTTTCGGAGATACACTTAGACTGAAACCACACCATTGGCTCTCCCTGGTCTAGACCCAGCTACTGAGTACAGCTCTTGAGACTCTTCGTCCTCTATAATCATGTGAGCCAATTCCTATAATGAATCTCTTTATATCTTTATATTTAAACATATATGTCTATCTAACATCTATCTCTTGGCACTGCTTCTCTGGACATCCAGACTAATACAGAAGATCTCTAGTGAGGCTGAACTTGCATATGTAACAGACATTAATCCCCTGATGGTAGAGGAGATGTTTAGATTGTATATTCTACATGAAGAAAAGGTGGACCTAAATTGTTTCTGAGTAAATGAATAGTTATTTAAAAAGAGAATTAACAATATTTCCCAGAATCTATTACTGTGATCCAAGGAGATTCATGTGAAAAAACACGTTTTACTCACCCTAAATATAGTGGGGAAACATTTACGTGTGATGCTGTTTTTCCAAAATACCTATCAAGTGCTCAGGAAGTAGAATCAATCAGAGGGCACAAAATCAATGCTGTTTGTTTTACCTAAACCACACATGATCAAGAAATACATGTTGTACCTAAATCATTACATGATCGAGAAAGGTCAGGAAAAATTCTTATTTAGTAAATAGTTTTTAGCAGATTAGATGTTATCTCTACCATCAAAATTAACTGAAATGTTTCTTTAGGTCATAAACAAGCATTTTCCACTAGCTGCGAAGATGAGGCAGGTGGATCACCTGAGTTCAGGGGTTCAAGACCAGCCTGGGCAACATGGCGAAACCCTGTCTCTATAACAAACAAAAAAATCAGCCAGGTGTGGTGGCCTGCGCCTATAGTCCCAGCTATTCCGGAAGCTAAGGCATGAGAATTGCTTGAAAGCAGGGAGGCACAAGAGCCAAGATTGCACCACTGCACTCCAGCCTGGCAAACAGAGTGAGACCCTATCTCAAAAAAAAAAAATAAATAAATAAAAATGAAAGTGACCTGAAATACTTATTTTTAAGAAATTCTGTGATTATGACTTTTTAAGTTCTAATAAAGACATTAATCTTTTTTCTATTTTTTAGGAAGAAAATGGAGCTAAAGGTTGTAAGCTAGAGAGAAGAATACAATACTTATATTCTGTATACATTATTTAGTTGATGCCCAACTGGCAAAAATATCAATCAAAAGCAAGTTTACAGACTATGGATATCTAGGCATCTCTCCTTAACTCAATATTTTTAGTTTTATAAAATAGGGAGTTCTTATTTCATCCAAAAGGGTTGCTTTAGTTTAGTTACTATAGAAATGAAACAAGTGTATCTTAAAACTTTCTTCAGCACACCACACCTTAATTCTGATATGTTAACCATACTAATACATTTGGTTGGTCAGAGGATATTAGTTAAAACATGTTGACAAACAAATGCACCTGCATTTCTACTACATAAATTTAAAAAACTCTGTAACTTAATAAATTACATTTTATTGATGTGTAATTAATATGTAAGATGCATTTAAGTGTATAGTTCAATTAGTTTTGACAAATGTATACACCCCTCTAAACAGAATCATGATATAGAACATTTGCTTCACCCTAAAAGTCTCCTTGTGTTCCTTGGCTGCTTGCACCACTCACTTCAGACCTTAGACAACCACTGAGTTCCTTTATGACATTACAGATTAGTTTGCTTTCTAGGATTTTATATAAGTGGAATCATAATGTACATATTCATCATGTACATTTGTGACTGACTTATTTTGCTCAGCATAATGTTTTTGAGAATCATTCTGTTGTGTGTATCAGTAATTTGTTTTTTTTTTTTTAATTGCTGAATTGATTTGCATCATATGGCTATACCACAGTTTGTTTATCTCTTCTCCTGTTGATTGAAACCTTGCTGTGTCTGGTTTTTGGCTATTATGAATATAACTGCCATGAACATTTGTATACAAGTCTTTGTGTGGGTATATATTTTCATATCCCTTTTAAACACCTAAGAGTGAAATTGCTGAGTTGTGTGTATGTTTAACTTTATAAGAAACTGCCAAACTGTTTTTCAAAGTTGTATCATTTTACATTCTCACCAGCAATGTATGAAAATACCAGTTGTTCCATATCCTCTCCAACATTTGGTTTTGTCAGACTAATTTTAACCATTGTAGTGTCTGTGTACATATCTCATTAGGGTTTTAATTTCCATTTTCCTGATTATTAATAACATCTTTTCATGTCTTTATTAGTCATTCATATGTTTTTTGTGAACTATATTTTCAAATACTTAACTCATTTTTAAATTGTTTCCTTCTTATTATGAATTTATAAGAATTATTGATATATTCTGGATAGAAGTCCTTTTTTAGATCTCAGTATTGAAAATATTTTCTTCCAGTATAAAATTTGCCCATTCCTTTTCTTAATGGTGTTTTTTGAAGAGCAGAAGCTATTAATTTTGATGAAATCCAATTTATCAACTTTTGTTTTATCATTCAGGCTTATTTTTGTTTGTTTCAGTTTTGATAATGTGTATAATTTAAACAGTATTTTCATTTCATCTAAATTGTCAAGTTTATTATTCTTCATAATGTTCTTTTCTTATTCTTTTAATGTCCATAAGGTTTGTGTTATATTTCTTTCATACAGGATAGTAGCTTACGTTCTCTCTTTCAGTCTAGTTGTAGGCTTATCAGTTTTACTGATTTTAAAAATTACTTCCATTAACTTTCTCTCTTGTTTTCTATTTTTATTAACTTCTGCTCTTATATCTATTATTTCTTTTCTTCCAGTTGTATTCGGTTTTAATTTGCTTGCCTTTACTAGCTTCTTAAAATACAAGCTTACAAGCTTGGATTTTTTTAATTTTAGATCTCCTTTTGAAATAAAAACACTTAAAGCTATGGATTTATCTTAAAAAATGCCTTGGGTGCCCTATATGAGTTTTTATTCATTTTATTTTCATTTCCATTAAGTTAAAAATAGTTTGTAATTTTCCACGTGATTTCTTTTTTGAAGTGTGAGTTATTTGGAACCTATTTCCAAACATTTGGGGACCTTCTAAACATCTATCAGTTTTTCCTACTATTCCTTGTCCCCTTCCTCCTTCTTCTCTTCCTTTTTTTATTATTGATTTCTGGTTTCTCTATGGTCAGATAAATACTTTGCATGATTTTAGCATTTTCAAATTTATTGAGACTGGTTTTGTAGCCCAGCATATGGCTTGTCTACTGGTAAACGTTCCACATGTACTAGAAAAGAACCTGTATTCTGCTAGGATTTTATAATTGTCAATATGTCAAGTTTAGCTGATAGTATTATTTAAGTTTTCTATATTTTTATTCATTGGGTCTATTTATTCTATAAAACACTGAGAGACGAGTGTTAACATTGCAAACTATAATTATGAATAATTATGTGAAGTTG